TTGAAACGTATTCATTCATCATTTCATTGTCTCAAATAAATTCCAAACTTCATAATGTTGCAAAATGTAAAAACAAACTAGTTTTATAAAATTTCTCAATGAAACCTTAAAACTTTACATTAATAAGCGTAAATGCATAATATGTAGGGTATTTCTGACAAATTTATATTTTAAAAACTTTAAAATCATTATGATCATTAAAATTGTAATGATTTTTTCATTTAATTTTGTTTATTTAATTTATACTAAAGATGAAAATTACAGTACAACTTTGTACTGTAATTTCTTGCTTTTCTGGGCCCCTAGAGAGAGGCAAAACACTAATTCTTGCTTTTTTTCTGTTAATAGTGTTAATATAATTTTGATTTAATAAAAATATTTCACCTATTTTCTTATTTTTATGTTTAAATAGAATGTAGGCAAAATTTGGGTTCGAACTCATTCACTACAATACAACCGAAACTTTAAATAGCAAACCCAAATTTCATTAAATTTCATTAAAAAAAAAAAAATTATTGCATACAAAAAAAAAATTTTTTTTTCAAAATGTAAAAATTTGGATTTGAACTGAGGTCCCCATATTTCATATTATAAGGCAAAATTTTAAAATTCTTAAAGATTAAGACCTAAATCCGGACATAGGGTGGACAAGACACTGTTCCTAGCCTTGGGAATAATATTGCGGTTTCAAGGGAATATACATGGAAAACGTTTCAACAACTTAATCTAACCTAACACATAAACTAAACCTAATATTGATTCCCATTACACACCCCAAACTAAACCCTACCCGACTTGAATATAAACAAAATCTATAATTTAATCGCGCAATTTTAGTATAAATATATTCAACAAAATTTTTATTTTTAAATATTAATGAGGATATTTTTTTTTTTTCATGAAAATTAAAAATTGCTTTTCAATTCAAAATCAGAATGAACATCATAAGTCAAAATTATAATTTCAATCAAAAATATTGTACATATTATAAAAATAATCAGAATTGAATCAAAATTTTAAAATTAATAACAAAATAGCTAAAATTACACTAATTAATGTGAAGGAATTTAAGAAAAAATTAATGGAATAAGTTCTTACCATAAAGCTGCAAATAACAACTAGAAGAATGAAAATTTTCGGAATGTTTTATTGAACTTTTTTCAACAATAACAACAATATTAAGAGATTTGCATCGGGAATCAATTTTCAAAACATTTTTAATACCAAAAAGAAGACATGTATTGTACAAGGAGTTTGAAATATGTATTTTTGTAGAAAAAATGTTGGAACAACTCAAATTAGACAAATCTAAGAATCTGGACTAGAAAAACTGCTTCTAAGTTTATTGTATAAGGTAAACAGCTGTATTTTCGACTAATTTTTCACACCTCTGACTAAAACACATCTTACTTTGATATTCCTTTATTACATCATTGGTTTCGATCGGTTTAAACAAATTTTTAGATAAAATTTTTAATTTTTTATTCAGTTTGTTTCTATTTTGATCTTTTTAGTGTACCTAATTCAGTCCGTAAACAAGCTATAATATAAAATTATGGAGAAGAATATTATGGAAAAGAATATTATCCTATTATAGACACGAATCAACAAATTATTATGGACATGTTTACAGAACTTCTACACCTTTGAAGATAGAAAGCTGAAATTTTATACGAACATGCAAATTTTTGATACCATTTTTCTTCTACATCGTACCTTACAGGAGTCTGAAATTTTAGCAGCTCTTAGATATTCATAAATATTTTATTTCGTTAGAAGAACATTTTTTCCCGTCTCCATCCCTTCTCAACTTATCGCATCTTGAAATTTGTAAAATTTGAATTTTTGACGCCTTTTATTTTAAAAACCACAAGCTTTTTTAAATTTCTATAAACGCAAAAAACCAACGGTAAATTCCATGACACTAAAAAGTATCTTTATTTTTCTTAGCTCATGCAATTAACCATTAAAATTGAGCATTATGTTAACCCCTCTTTACACACTTACAATATGGTTTGGCCCAACTTTATTATTGTATATATTTTAAAATTGCATTTTCTAATAATTTGCAAACATACTTAGTTTCTCTCTATATAGTTTCTATATAGTTGCTAGTTACTTAGTTTCTCTAACAAGAAAATGAGTATTAAGTGAATGTACCTAAAGCGGTCTTAAATGTTTTTAATCATTTTTCTAACTCTGAAGAAAAACCATAGAACCACAATAATAAAAAATATATTTTTTCTTAAATTTTAGGTGAAATTACAACATTCTCTGAAAAAATTGAACTATTCATGCTCCACAAAAACTAAATAATAAATTCAAAATTATATCGGAAGCGCTGTGGACTCGAAAATCAACTTAATTGTAAAAAAATAATTTAAAAACCTATTTAATTTTGATTTGTAACTTAATGTAAATTTTTTTAGAAGCAAATTATATGCATGGGACCGAATTATTGCCGTTTACCTCAATATAATTGGAACAAACGATGAAAATATTCAAATATCAACAATAAAATTGATAATTTTGAAACGTATTCATTCATCATTTCATTGTCTCAAATAAATTCCAAACTTCATAATGTTGCAAAATGTAAAAACAAACTAGTTTTATAAAATTTCTCAATGAAACCTTAAAACTTTACATTAATAAGCGTAAATGCATAATATGTAGGGTATTTCTGACAAATTTATATTTTAAAAACTTTAAAATCATTATGATCATTAAAATTGTAATGATTTTTTCATTTAATTTTGTTTATTTAATTTATACTAAAGATGAAAATTACAGTACAACTTTGTACTGTAATTTCTTGCTTTTCTGGGCCCCTAGAGAGAGGCAAAACACTAATTCTTGCTTTTTTTCTGTTAATAGTGTTAATATAATTTTGATTTAATAAAAATATTTCACCTATTTTCTTATTTTTATGTTTAAATAGAATGTAGGCAAAATTTGGGTTCGAACTCATTCACTACAATACAACCGAAACTTTAAATAGCAAACCCAAATTTCATTAAATTTCATTAAAAAAAAAAAAATTATTGCATACAAAAAAAAAATTTTTTTTTCAAAATGTAAAAATTTGGATTTGAACTGAGGTCCCCATATTTCATATTATAAGGCAAAATTTTAAAATTCTTAAAGATTAAGACCTAAATCCGGACATAGGGTGGACAAGACACTGTTCCTAGCCTTGGGAATAATATTGCGGTTTCAAGGGAATATACATGGAAAACGTTTCAACAACTTAATCTAACCTAACACATAAACTAAACCTAATATTGATTCCCATTACACACCCCAAACTAAACCCTACCCGACTTGAATATAAACAAAATCTATAATTTAATCGCGCAATTTTAGTATAAATATATTCAACAAAATTTTTATTTTTAAATATTAATGAGGATATTTTTTTTTTTTCATGAAAATTAAAAATTGCTTTTCAATTCAAAATCAGAATGAACATCATAAGTCAAAATTATAATTTCAATCAAAAATATTGTACATATTATAAAAATAATCAGAATTGAATCAAAATTTTAAAATTAATAACAAAATAGCTAAAATTACACTAATTAATGTGAAGGAATTTAAGAAAAAATTAATGGAATAAGTTCTTACCATAAAGCTGCAAATAACAACTAGAAGAATGAAAATTTCCGGAATGTTTTATTGAACTTTTTTCAACAATAACAACAATATTAAGAGATTTGCATCGGGAATCAATTTTCAAAACATTTTTAATACCAAAAAGAAGACATGTATTGTACAAGGAGTTTGAAATATGTATTTTTGTAGAAAAAATGTTGGAACAACTCAAATTAGACAAATCTAAGAATCTGGACTAGAAAAACTGCTTCTAAGTTTATTGTATAAGGTAAACAGCTGTATTTTCGACTAATTTTTCACACCTCTGACTAAAACACATCTTACTTTGATATTCCTTTATTACATCATTGGTTTCGATCGGTTTAAACAAATTTTTAGATAAAATTTTTAATTTTTTATTCAGTTTGTTTCTATTTTGATCTTTTTAGTGTACCTAATTCAGTCCGTAAACAAGCTATAATATAAACTTATGGAGAAGAATATTATGGAAAAGAATATTATCCTATTATAGACACGAATCAACAAATTATTATGGACATGTTTACAGAACTTCTACACCTTTGAAGATAGAAAGCTGAAATTTTATACGAACATGCAAATTTTTGATACCATTTTTCTTCTACATCGTACCTTACAGGAGTCTGAAATTTTAGCAGCTCTTAGATATTCATAAATATTTTATTTCGTTAGAAGAACATTTTAAAAACCACAACCTTTTTTAAATTTCTATAAACGCAAAAAACCAACGGTAAATTCCATGACACTAAAAAGTATCTTTATTTTTCTTAGCTCATGCAATTAACCATTAAAATTGAGCATTATGTTAACCCCTCTTTACACACTTACAATATGGTTTGGCCCAACTTTATTATTGTATATATTTTAAAATTGCATTTTCTAATAATTTGCTAACATACTTAGTTTCTCTCTATATAGTTTCTATATAGTTGCTAGTTACTTAGTTTCTCTAACAAGAAAATGAGTATTAAGTGAATGTACCTAAAGCGGTCTCAAATGTTTTTAATCATTTTTCTAACTCTGAAGAAAAACCATAGAACCACAATAATAAAAAATATATTTTTTCTTAACACTAGAACTACCAACATTTTATGTATACCTAGTTGTACCAATCCGTCAATTTGACGGATATTTGAAAAATGGAATTTAATAAAAAAATTGTGAATAAACAAACTTCTATTTTATTGTAATTTAAAATAAAAAAGGTACAAATTCAGTTATACAATATATAGTAAATAAATAAAAAGGATTTATGTAGCACATTTCTTACAAATAGAAATTTTTTCGGCAGTACACTTCCCACACATGTAGTTCGTGCATTTAAAACAAAGAGAATTAGTTTTGTTTTTATTGCAGAATCCAATTACACAAGATTTTCGCTGCATATCTTCTTTAGGATGTTCCGAAGTAGATTTCATGGTCTCTATTATACTCCATTTTTCTGGCTGCGAGGATTTCAGCATTTTATTATGTGTATATTTATCAGCGAGTTCTTCACATAATTGGTATAAAAATTGTTTTCTCGTTATATTTTCGCCAGTAATATCCTTGTATAAGCTCCAGGCATTGATTCCTGCCAAATCTAAAATATTATAGAAAACTTGCAATGGCCATCTACGGGAACTTGCTTTTACACTGTACTTCCGAGCCATTTGGTCAATAACATCTACTCCGAACTTAGTTTTGTTATAGAATTCGACAGTTTCTGGTAAAAGTTTATAATTTTCGGCAATCTTCACGTTGGTATGTTTGGAACTTAGAACTAATACTTTTTTCGCAGGCTTTGATTTGTAAATAGTGAGAACTATATTATCAGACTTTAATAGTATAGTTTCATACCGAGCCATGTTATCTTTTTTTACTTTTGCTATTTGTGGTAATTCTTTTTTATTACTTCGCAGAGTTCCAACTAATGTTGTTTTTTAGCTAAAAGTTTTTTTGTCAATGGAATACTGGTAAAAAAATTGTCAGTAGTTATACTTCTTCCGCAACCTAAATAAGGTTCAACAAGCTTTAGAACCACATATTCATGTAAAGGTGTCGATGATATTCGTAAATTATCTTTTCCTAGGTATGGAAAACCATTTAGTACATATCTATTTTCAGCATCGGTTACCAACCAAAACTTTATCCCAAATTTAGAAGGTTTATTTGGCATGTATTGCGTAAACCTACATCTTGCCTTGGTTGGAAAAAGTTGTTCGTCTATGGTAAGAGAAGAACCCGGTTTGTAGCAGTTTTGACTATTATTCATAAATGCATTCCATGTTTCGGAAACTAGTGCAAATTTATCTACTTGTAAACGACTACTTCTTTCATTTTTTTTATCAAATCGAATGAAGCGCAAAATTTCCGTGAACCTGTTTCTACTCATTGTACTTTTGAAAAAAGGAGGTCCCCATTTTTTTGACCACAAATATGATATTTTCATATTTTTTGATTCATATGCTCCCCTAGCATATAAAATCGCTATAAAAGCATATAATTCATCAATGCTTGTTGTCCAATGATTACCTAAAACATTTTGTGCTTCTGTTTCTGTGCAATTTTTAATATGCTCTATCATGCGATTATCAATTAGTAACATAAACGCGCTACTAACTTGACCTGATATTATATTCCGCTTGGTGTAAGCAGTTGGTCCTGAAGTAGCCTTGAAAATATTATGTGAAGGTGATCTACCAGCGCAACCACCTTTTTGAATTTCTTTCCAAACAGTTCCATCACTTGCAATGTGTACATCTTTACGCGTTATATTAGCGTTGCTGGTTTCGTTATCACTTTCAGAGCTTGAACAAATTCGCATACGTTTTCGACATCTAAAGAAAGAAGCAGGAAATTCATTTTCCTTTTCACATTCTGAATCAGATTTTTCAACTTCATTGCTGTCTATACTTGTATCATTTTCATTGAACTCAGGTGTTTCAATTTCTATTTCATCATCCAAAAAATCAAAATTTTTATTTGAATTCGTATCGGAAAAATTCTCATCAATGTTGGTTAGTGTTTCCAATAATTTTGTTCTAGTATTTCGGTTCATAATTATAAAACCCTATTAGAACGGCAAATGTTTTATATATGAATATTATTTTGAATAAAATTAAACTTACCTTCGTGATATAGTAATTTTATTATAAAAAAGACAATTATCACTTTTATATACATAAAATTTTGTAAAAACAATAAAATTAACTTTTTTCACTGTGTTACGTTTGCAAAATATGGAACTGCTATAAAAATATCTTTATACAACAAAAACGCATCAACTAAATAAATATAATATATTACCTAACAGTATTTTATTCTTCATTTATGGGGACTTCCCGGAATATATAAATAGAATATTTATTCAATGAGAAGTTTTACTTTTTTTCATTCAAGCAACTGTAAATTTGGCCAGTATTTATAAATATAAGAGCAAAATTATTAATTCCGTCATTTTGAGGGGTTGGTAAGTATAAGTATACATAAGGCGTTTCCTCAGAATTAACGGTTTTATAAACAAGACGATAGTCAATTTTTGAGTACCTCAGTTTCATATTAAAAGTCATTATCAATTTAAAAAAAAATATTTACATAATAACAATAAAATTTATGTGTAAAATAATAAATTCCGTCATTTTGACGGATTGGTAGTTCTAGTGTTAAATTTTAGGTGAAATTACAACATTCTCTGAAAAAATTGAACTATTCATGCTCCACAAAAACTAAATAATAAATTCAAAATTATATCGGAAGCGCTGTGGACTCGAAAATCAACTTAATTGTAAAAAAATAATTTAAAAACCTATTTAATTTTGATTTGTAACTTAATGTAAATTTTTTTAGAAGCAAATTATATGCATGGGACCGAATTATTGCCGTTTACCTCAATATAATTGGAACAAACGATGAAAATATTCAAATATCAACAATAAAATTGATAATTTTGAAACGTATTCATTCATCATTTCATTGTCTCAAATAAATTCCAAACTTCATAATGTTGCAAAATGTAAAAACAAACTAGTTTTATAAAATTTCTCAATGAAACCTTAAAACTTAACATTAATAAGCGTAAATGCATAATATGTAGGGTATTTCTGACAAATTTATATTTTAAAAACTTTAAAATCATTATGATCATTAAAATTGTAATGATTTTTTCATTTAATTTTGTTTATTTAATTTATACTAAAGATGAAAATTACGGTACAACTTTGTACTGTAATTTCTTGCTTTTCTGGGCCCCTAGAGAGAGGCAAAACACTAATTCTTGCTTTTTTTCTGTTAATAGTGTTAATATAATTTTGATTTAATAAAAATATTTCACCTATTTTCTTATTTTTATGTTTAAATAGAATGTAGGCAAAATTTGGGTTCGAACTCATTCACTACAATGCAACCGAAACTTTAAATAGCAAACCCAAATTTCATTAAATTTCATTAAAAAAAAAAAATTATTGCATACAAAAAAAAAATTTTTTTTTCAAAATGTAAAAATTTGGATTTGAACTGAGGTTCCCATATTTCATATTATAAGGCAAAATTTTAAAATTCTTAAAGATTAAGACCTAAATCCGGACATAGGGTGGACAAGACACTGTTCCTAGCCTTGGGAATAATATTGCGGTTTCAAGGGAATATACATGGAAAACGTTTCAACAACTTAATCTAACCTAACACATAAACTAAACCTAATATTGATTCCCATTACACACCCCAAACTAAACCCTACCCGACTTGAATATAAACAAAATCTATAATTTAATCGCGCAATTTTAGTATAAATATATTCAACAAAATTTTTATTTTTAAATATTAATGAGGATATTTTTTTTTTTTTCATGAAAATTAAAAATTGCTTTTCAATTCAAAATCAGAATGAACATCATAAGTCAAAATTATAATTTCAATCAAAAATATTGTACATATTATAAAAATAATCAGAATTGAATCAAAATTTTAAAATTAATAACAAAATAGCTAAAATTACACTAATTAATGTGAAGGAATTTAAGAAAAAATTAATGGAATAAGTTCTTACCATAAAGCTGCAAATAACAACTAGAAGAATGAAAATTTTCGGAATGTTTTATTGAACTTTTTTCAACAATAATAACAATATTAAGAGATTTGCATCGGGAATCAATTTTCAAAACATTTTTAATACCAAAAAGAAGACATGTATTGTACAAGGAGTTTGAAATATGTATTTTTGTAGAAAAAATGTTGGAACAACTCAAATTAGACAAATCTAAGAATCTGGACTAGAAAAACTGCTTCTAAGTTTATTGTATAAGGTAAACAGCTGTATTTTCGACTAATTTTTCACACCTCTGACTAAAACACATCTTACTTTGATATTCCTTTATTACATCATTGGTTTCGATCGGTTTAAACAAATTTTTAGATAAAATTTTTAATTTTTTATTCAGTTTGTTTCTATTTTGATCTTTTTAGTGTACCTAATTCAGTCCGTAAACAAGCTATAATATAAACTTATGGAGAAGAATATTATGGAAAAGAATATTATCCTATTATAGACACGAAGCAACAAATTATTATGGACATGTTTACAGAACTTCTACACCTTTGAAGATAGAAAGCTGAAATTTTATACGAACATGCAAATTTTTGATACCATTTTTCTTCTACATCGTACCTTACAGGAGTCTGAAATTTTAGCAGCTCTTAGATATTCATAAATATTTTATTTCGTTAGAAGAACATTTTTTCCCGTCTCCATCCCTTCTCAACTTATCGCATCTTGAAATTTGTAAAATTTGAATTTTTGACGCCTTATATTTTAAAAACCACAAGCTTTTTTAAATTTCTATAAATGCAAAAAACCAACGGTAAATTCCATGACACTAAAAAGTATCTTTATTTTTCTTAGCTCATGCAATTAACAATTAAAATTGAGCATTATGTTAACCCCTCTTTACACACTTACAATATGGTTTGGCCCAACTTTATTATTGTATATATTTTAAAATTGCATTTTCTAATAATTTCAGTGGCCTCAAGCACAAACGACTTAAGTCTGTTTTAGTGATTTCGAGATAAATGCATTTTAAACTTTAAATTAAATTTTGAAAAAAGTTATGAAGTTTTTTGAACCAATTTTTTTTTTGATTGAAAGATAATTAAAAAAGGAAGCGATTAACTCATAATCTGAAGTAAAACAACTAATAGTATTCTCATAATTATGAAAAAAGTGAGATAGGCTGTTATACAAAATTTATAAAAAGCATTTTGCAAAGCATAGCTCGACTTAGGCGATTTGTGAAAAATTACTTTTTCATTTTCGTCAAATTTAAGTCGACTTAAGCTGTTGTTGCAAAACTGAAAATATGGTTTTAGGTGACTTAAGTTATACTAAAAAGGGAAGAAATATATATATTATTTTTAGGTTATTTGATTTTTCACTCTTTTTTCAAATCATTGTCATAAAAAACATAAATTGAGGTAAAAAATGAATAAACTTCAAGGAAAAATTATTTCTAAAAACTTAAAAAAAATTGTTTCATTAAATTTAAGAAAGGTGGCAGTATCTTTTATTCTCTCTCGGATTCTCCGATTGAATATGGATGGGTATCTGCTAAATCTCCAGTCTTAATCTTTTTGTAAAATTTGTGAACCAAAGGATCAATAAATTGCATCAAATACTCTAATTTTTTCTTTTTTGGGACTAAATTTCTCTTCTTCTTCAATTTGGAGCATGTCTTGAAAATCTAACTAGTTAACACCTCGTCTTAAAATGTAAAAAATCTTTGTATAAACTGTTCTTGTAAAATATTTTTGGAAGTCAATTTTTTGAAATCTGTGGTGCGACTCTTTCCACTTAAGAGAATTTCAAAAAGTAATTCAATTACAAAAAGGCTTCATTGTGCAACGGATCTGACAAAGTTATTACATTACTGTAAAAATGAGCACATAAAGTAATCTCTAAAATGAGTTTATGAGTTTTGTGTTTGTTATTTTATTTATGTACTATAGTCCATATGACTTTCTTACTTGCTCATAATGATACTAAATGCGAATTAATTAAAATTTTTAAATCAAAAACAAAATGAAATCGAGTGTGACTCATTACAACTACTGTAATGAAAAGTCAAATTTGATAGTGATATAGATCTCCGTAAAAAGTTGTGACAAAGTAAATTGGTTCGGAATTTGCTCCCCTATCATAGAGTATATATGTAAGTATTTGATTTTCAAATAATCAAAGAATATTGTAAGTTTGCACGGCATTTTTATTTTAGCTGTCAGCATTTACTTTCCAATTAAGACTCCATACAAATTGACCACGAGTAAGTTTCGAACGTTCATGTACTTGAGGGCATTCAGGAAGCCCGGTCGCGAAAGATTAAGCGAATTTTTCTAACCGTTCGGCAAATTGTAAAAGGATTTTTCTTAAAAGAATAAAAGTAGAAAGCCTTTCATATTTTTTTATCTCTACAGATATGTTCACATGCCCAATAGGAATCGAAAACTTGCTTTTGAATGTTGTCAATTTTAAAATCAGGATCATTAATACAGACCACGACCAAAGTCAAATGCGGTTTTCAAAACTGTATTAATTTCGGTTTTCAAATAAAGATCTGTTTATGCTTGTTTATTTACTATAGGACTAGTTTCGCTAATTTCCATATTTTAAAACACTTTGAATCCGTTAAGTTAGCTTCTAATATATTGCAATACCTCAAATATCCACCACAATATTTCAGCTCTCCTAGCAAGTTCCAAAATTTTTAACGAACAATATTATTAAGCGTGGATAAAACTTATGTTGGATAATTTTTGCATTATTTAACAATTTCCAACATCAGCACATTTAAAAACAATAATAAATAACTGTCTTTGTAAAAAATACTTCCTTCGAAATAACAAAAATATAATAAATATTTGAAAATCGAAGAAATTTAATCTCACGGAAATGAGTAATA